ACGCACGCACGCACGCACGCGCGCGCACACACACACACACACACACACACACACACACACACACACACACACACACACACACACACACACACACACACACACACACACACACACACACACACACGCACACAGAATCACATACGAACCGCATTGTCAGGAAGGACGATGGAGATGTCGGATGGACAGGAAATAAAGATGGGCGGAACGTTGTCGTCAAGGGTCAAAAAGGGCGTGGAAGGGTCATAGGGAGCAGGGAGCGAAGTTGTTGTGGCGGTGGTGGTCGTTGTCGTTGTCGTGGTTGTGGCGGTTGCATCATCATCTGTGGATGACTCGCGTGTGGTGAGGCCGTCGGCGGCAGCAGCGAAGTTGTTGTTCCCTTGAAACGACTCAAACACTTGCCCATGAAGGTCTTGGTCTGGAGGAGGGATGGTGAGTGTGGCGGTGATCCGGCTCCAGGGCTGTGGCAGGGCCGTTGAGTATGAAGCAAGCAGGTGCTCAAAGAACTTGGCGCGGTGGCCTGCGCTGTACACTGAAGCCCCATCAATGTCCAGCACATCCACAAGCTTGGCCACGGGGTGTGTCACGGTGGTGAGGTCCTTTGACACGAGCAGCAGCGACACGCGGTCAAACTCAATGTCCGCCGTGATGGGCGCGGTCTCTGCAAACAGGTTGTAGCAACGGCCGTTCTGCGACAGCCCAGATGCCGAGTCGATGGAGATGATGGGCTGGGCAACGTCCTCGTCCAGGCCATCAAACGTGATCTGTGGTGCCGCGGCGCCAACGGTGATAGTTTCGTTGTTGTCCGAGCAGTACCCGACCTGAAAGCGCACCACCACCTCGCCAATGGGCGGCACCGTTACGTGGATGCGTCGCCCTTTGGGGGCCGCAAGCTGCAGCCCCACGCTCAAGCGAAAGTTTGCCGGCACGCGGATAGAATCCGCAATGGCGACATCTGTATGCACGCGTGCACGGTGTTGTGAATGCGTGTGTGTGCATGCGTTAATGTGTGTGTGCATGTGTTTATGTGTGTGTGCATGCGTTAATGTGTGTGTGTGCATGTGTTTATGTGTGTTGATGCGTGTGTGTGTGCATGTGTTTATGTGTGTTTTTGAGTGTGTGAGTACGAATTTGTCGCTTGCATGGGCCTGTTTGAGTGGAAGTGCAGGGTCGTTGTGACACACGTGTGCGTGTGTGTGTGTGTGTGCTCTCCACGTCAACTCCCCACAGCGTGCTCACCGTGCGTGCCAGAGTTGTCGAGAAGATAGGCGTTTTCTGCATATGGAGAGGTGCTGATGACATCTGCAGCCACGCCGTTGATCTCAACAAACTCGCCCAGCGCAACCGTGATCTGGGGTGGAGCGGAAACAGTGAGGCGCGGTGCGAGGGTAAGAACAGAGGTCACGCTGACATTCAAGCGCAACAATGGACAGGCAGAGACGGAACACACACACACACACACACACACACACACACACACACACACACACACACACACACACACACACACACACGCACACAAAGTCACACACATAAACACACACATACACACAGATACACACACGCACACAAAATCACACAAACGCACACAAAATCACACACGTCACGCAGATACACACCCTAATGCGGCATTCAACGTTGCGTGTGAGCGCCTGCGGCTCAATGCCATAGACGACGTCGTACACGCCCTGGGAGAAGAGGCGGTTATCCGGGTCCGCGCCCGGCTCCGCCATGAGTGGAATGATCTCAACAGTCTGGAACAACAGCGGGTTGCCAACGATGGTGGGCTGGGGCACGTCCCACTCAATCTTGGTGACCTCGCCAGGCAGCACAACGCGGTTGATGTGGGGAATGCAGCCCTTGAACGTGTCGAGGTAGAACAACGTGGTGACGTTGGAGCGGCAGGGTTCGTTGAAAAACGTGTCCTTGTCCGGGCGGCACACGGGGGAGTAGACGTTGATTGCGTCAATGTTGACAACAAGCGCGCGGATGTCGGCGTCATGCAGCCGCTGCACGCGCTTCACATACACGAGTTCGTACTCTAGCATGTTGTCACGCCCGTTGTTTGCTGTTGGTCGGAGCTCAAGGGCTGAGGTATCAATCCACTCTGCGCCCTCCCTGCCACCAGATGCCGCGTAATCAACAAGCACCTGCACAGCGCGCGCCCACGTGATGAGCACAAGCGGGGGCTTGCCGTTGTCCAGGTAGCCGATGCGGTAGCGAGCAATGACGTCGCCGACAGCAAACCCGCTTGGTCCCAGCTGCATGATGGACTCTGCGAGGGTGTGGAAGGGCCCGAGGTCAAGATGGCCGCCGTCAACGAAGACGAGATAGTCGTAGAGGTTCAGCAGCAGCGCGCCGTCCGCCCCTCGGAACTCGGGCACCTCATCATACTCTGGTTGGTTTGAGTGGTTGGTTTGAGTGGTTGGTTGCGGGGTGTAGAAGGAAAGCGTGAGGAGTGTGAAATGCATTTGTGAAGGTGTCGCGGGCATGTAGCGAGCATGCATGATGAGCAATACGTCAACCAACACATGGCAACATGCATACACATGCAGACAAGCGTACATGTACACACACACACAAGTACATACACGCGCAAGCACACACGCACACGCAAGCACACACGCACACGCACACGCACACAAGCCCCCACCTCTGCAGGAGCGGTCTGATGTTGGCGTTGGGCTGATGGCCTCGTACTCGTTCGCCCTGCATGCCGTATTGCTGTGGCACACGACGTCTGATGTCGGAGTTGCGGGCACGACCATGTACATGCCATCGCCGCACATGGAGATGTTCGCACATGTGCGGTCAGAGAGCAGCGTGGGGGCGTTCGTCTCGTATTGGCCGTCGCCACACTGTGACACCGGTGCACACTCCCTGTCCATGGTAGGCTGGGGCGCCAGGACCTCAAATGTGGCGCCGAGCTGGCACGTGGTGAGCAGCTCGCACGTGTTCGTGGACGTGTTGCGGAAGGAGTCGGGGTCACACGTGGTGTTTTTGGCGACACACACGCGGTCTGTGGTGGCTGTAGGCGACTGTGCTTCAAACAGGCCAGGTGTGCAGATGCGTGTTGCCATGCACACACGGTCTGTTGTCGCTGTTGGCTGCGCCACTGCAAACTCCGTTGGTCTGCACGGTGACACGCGCGCGCACTCTCTGTCTGTGGTGGGGGTCGGATGGGCCGTGATGTATGTGCCCTCGCCACACTCCGTTGTTGGGCGGCATTCGCGGTCTGAGGTCGCTGTCGGTGCCGTTGCCTCGTATTCCGTCGTGGGGTGACACGTGGAGACGTTCTTGCACGCGCTGCACGGCACGAACGAGTCGTGGTGGTGGTGATGAGAAGTGGCGGTGGTGGTGATGGTGGTGGTGGTGGTGGCGGGATGTGAGCAGGTTAGCAGGTGTTTGCGGGGAAGTGAAAGATGCGCATTCGCACGCGCGTGCGTATGAATGTGCGTGTGTGCGTGTGCAAATGCGACTCAACAGTGACTTACACATCGCTCGACCAGGTTGCCTCCTGCAGCAGAAACTGGTCAAGGGCACATCTGCTGATGCGTCTGCACACGTGGTTGTCCGTATCTTGGTACTCTTTCGAGGGCAGGCATACCAAGTTGCGCTTGCACATTCCAGCCAAAACGGTGTCCGTTCTACAATTGCGGTTTGTGTGGTTTTGCATTTGTGTGTGTGTGTGTGTGTGCGTGCGTGTGCGCATGTGTGTGTGTGTGTGTGTGTGTGTGTGAGCGGACGAGGGCGTCATATCAAGAAAGACAGGCGAGGGGAGAGCAACAAAGGCAATCGACACACACACACACGCACACGCACGTACACGCACGCACACACACACACACACGCACGCACGCGCACGTACACGCACACACGCACACACACACACACACACACACCTGTTGTCGATGTGAGCCCATCTGCCGCCACGAACCATGGCCAAGTCGTACACTTTCGTGCTAAAAGAGCAGGTGACAGGATCAACCTATACCGTATAGTGGCGTGGGTGCATGAGTATGAGTATGAGCGTGAGCTGGGGTGGCGGTGACAGTGGTGGTGGTCGTAGTGGTGGTGGGACAGGAGGTCACGTGTCATGCTCAGGTGGTTACAGTGTACAGCTGTCGTGTGGGTGTGTATGGTGCAGGGCACAACAGAAAGCGAGTGTGGCTTCACAGCAAACATCAAGAACGTTCACTTGCAGGAAGGACTGACCTCGTTGAGAAGGAATTGCTCGTGCACGTCGGGGCGATATGGGGTACCGTCCAAGAACTCAAAATCGCAGCCAATGTTCCTCAGGCCAATCCTGTGTTCGGGTGTATGAATTGTGGTTGGTGATGGTGTGGTATCAGAGGGGGGTGGGGGATTGTTTGAGGCCAGCGCATCGTCGAAACATATAAGCAAGACACGCACACGACGCATATTGTGTGAACATCGACACACCCACACACCCACACACCCACACACCCACATACCCACATACCCACACACCCACACACCCACACACCCACACACACATCCACACGAACCAAAACTCAGAGTGGCCGCTGGTAACCTCTCTTCCCTCGTTGACACACACACACCTGTTGTCGATGTGAGCCCATCTGCCGCCACGAACCATGGCCAAGTCGTACACTTTCGTGCTAAAAGAGCAGGTGACAGGATCAACCTATACCGTATAGTGGCGTGGGTGCATGAGTATGAGTATGAGCGTGAGCTGGGGTGGCGGTGACAGTGGTGGTGGTCGTAGTGGTGGTGGGACAGGAGGTCACGTGTCATGCTCAGGTGGTTACAGTGTACAGCTGTCGTGTGGGTGTGTATGGTGCAGGGCACAACAGAAAGCGAGTGTGGCTTCACAGCAAACATCAAGAACGTTCACTTGCAGGAAGGACTGACCTCGTTGAGAAGGAATTGCTCGTGCACGTCGGGGCGATATGGGGTACCGTCCAAGAACTCAAAATCGCAGCCAATGTTCCTCAGGCCAATCCTGTGTTCGGGTGTATGAATTGTGGTTGGTGATGGTGTGGTATCAGAGGGGGGTGGGGGATTGTTTGAGGCCAGCGCATCGTCGAAACATATAAGCAAGACACGCACACGACGCATATTGTGTGAACATCGACACACCCACACACCCACACACCCACACACCCACATACCCACATACCCACACACCCACACACCCACACACCCACACACACATCCACACGAACCAAAACTCAGAGTGGCCGCTGGTGTCTGCGGCGCGGATGCGGTTGATCTCAAGGTTTTCCTGTGTGGACACAATGGAGGTGAGGGTGCCCTCGTGGGCCACGCAGGCTGCATTTGCATCGTCAAACGTAGCTTCTGGCACGGCGAAGAACTTGTACTGCAAGTCCTCTGGGATGTTGATCAAGTGTGCTTCCGCACTTGATATCAATGGAGCTGCTGAAAACAGAGTAGCAGTCACCAACAACACAGCGGCCAAGGCCATCTGTGTGGGAGGTGGAAGCCGACAGCGCATGGCTGTCTGCTGTTTCGTGTGTTGGTGCTGTTGTAGCGATTGGCAGCACCTCCACATGAGATAAAGGGGTGCCCTCCGTCTTCGGCTCGTGTTTGGCTCGTGCTCGTGTGGTGTGGGGTGGATCGGTGGGTGGTGTCTGGTGTCTGCTCACGCGCTGGCTGGTGGTGTGCGAGTGTTTCTGGAGCGAGTTTGTAAGCGATGCTGTGGCTGGGGACGACGAGGATGAGGGGGGTTTTGCTCGCGTTTCTGGCGAGGCTGCTGCTGGCTTGCGTTGGGTGTGCTCGACTTGGTTTTGCTTATGGTTGCAATTCGTCGACTGATCGAGTTGTGAAGTGCTGCGTGGTCTCTGCTGTTTGTGGTTGTTGTCGTTGCCGAGGCAAGGGTTTTTGCGTTGGCTGCGGTCGTGGGTATGCGTGGCTGGTTGGTTCGGGGTTGGTTGGCTGAGGCTTAGGGTTTGCTTGGCTGCCTTCCACCCAACGGAACCGACGAAAGCACAAAGCCTGATGATGGGAAAGGAGGGCTGGCAGACTGACGACGCAAAGGTCTGCGCTGGCGATGGATGAGCCGATGCAAAGGTATGTGAAAAGTGGTGGGTTTGGTGGATGGGCTGCTTGGTGGGGTTGTTGGAATGGATTTCGAGCCTGCCTTGCTGCTTGCTTGATGGCGCAAAGTGTTGCGTAGCTCGTGCTGCACGAGTCGTTGCCTCATTTGCTTAGCCTTGCTCGTTTCCGCTCGCCGTTGTGCCTGGTCTGCGTTTGTTGGTATGCGTGCAGCAACCAAAGCACCCAACCAACACACGCTGCATGATTCGTGATTTGTTCGCAGGCGCAGCGCGTCAGGCACGTTTGGGAACGAAACACGCACTGGTTGGGTGAACATGTTTAGCTGGGGAAGCAGTCAGGTTTTGGTTGGTGTGTGGTTGTGGTGATGTGCATGCGTGCAGCCACGACCGACTTGCGTCAAAACGGCGGTCGTCACAACACAACGAACAAGGAACACGTCAAGTCGTCTATTGGTGGGAAACAGCGTGGGCCCGCCCCAACATCACCACATTACCCTCAAGCTGAACACGGCGCAGGAGCGTCGTGGCAACATTGACCAGGCAACCCCTGCCCTCGTCAGCGTTCCGAACGTGCGGTTGGTTACGCGAAGGCGTTCGTCAGGGCATTTAGGCGCATGCATCTCGTCCGTCTTCGTCACCGCACTCTGCTCGATTTGAGGCGTCAGTGTTCCGGAGGAAATTAGACTGAAGATATCGCGAATCGCCAAAGCTTGCATCGAAACCGTTACTGGTGGTGGTGGTGGTGGTTGCTTTTTTTCAGCGAGAAGCGTGCGCTGTGTGTGCGATCCATGACGATGATGGAGGGAGAAGCACAGGACCACCTGCAGGTGCAGCAGCAGCAGCAGCAGCAGCAGCAGCAGCAGCAGCAAACAAGGGAGGACTTGCTGCAGTCACTGCCAATGAGGCAAGCAAGTTCGTTCAGCAGCTTTGGAGGCGCGGGTAGTGTGGATGACGATGACGACGGTGATGATGATGATGGTGATGATAGCAGCGGTGATGTGGTGGATGATGACCACAATGGTGAGAGGCAGTCTCGACACGGAAGGGCGAGCGGACATGGTGGTGGACACCCTGGGTTCACCCGCTCTCAAGCAGCAGGCGGGCACGCGTCAGACTACGGGTTTGACGTGACAAATGCACAGGCCCAGTCAACCACTCGAGAAACAATCGCGCTGAAGGTGCGACACGTGTGTACTCTACGTCAGTGTGTTTGTGTTTGTGGGTGGGTGCGGGTGTATGTGTGTGGGTGTGGGTGCATGTGTGCGTGTATGTTTGTGTGCGTGGGCGTGTGCGTGGGCGTGTGCGTGGGTATGGGTGTGCAGGCACCGTTTGGTTGCACTTCTTGTTTGCTTGTTGGCTGGTGTTTGCTTGAGTCATTGTATGAGTGCGTTCATTGTCTTGCAGTTTCGCAGGGTTGCTGAGTGGTTGAGCATTCGCATGTATGCGTGTTGCAATGCGAGATGCTGACCCATCTGCTTCTTGGGTCCACCACTCGCAGAGACAACTGCAAGAATTGCGCACAAGAGCAGAAGCCGTCGTTGCGGAGAACGAAGCCTTGCACCGAGCACTTGAGCAGTCAATGCAGCAGAACGACGGCGCATCAGACCAGGACTTGAGTCAAATCCGCCTCCTCATGCAGGAAGTGGGCCTCCTCACCAAGACAAACACAGACCTCAAGCTCCAGCTCAAGAACGCCCAGTCCTCCGCCAAGCAACACGTGCGTTTGTGTGTGGGGAAGTGTGATGTGTGCATTTGTGTGTGTGTGTGTGTGCATTGTAGGTGCGTGTATTTGTGTGTGCATTGTAGGTGTGTGTGTGCGTGTGCATTGCATGTGTTCGCGTGCGTGTGCTTCGTTTGCGTACGCCACCGTCACCAATCAAACTCCACCCACACACCCATCTCCGCTCACATGTGCGTATGCGTGTGCAGTTGCAAGAGACAGTGTCGCTGAACGATGAGCTTCTGAACCGGACCATCCAGCTGCAGAAGCTTGAGGCGGAACTGAAGGAGCTTGCAGCACTGCGCTGGGGCAACAGCGATGGCAATTGTGACGCGAGTGCACAGGGAACACTCATCGACAGATTACAGCAGGAGAACGAGCAGCTCAAGCAACAGCTCCTGTGAGTTTGTTTGTTTGTGTATGTGTGTGAGTTTGTTTGGTTGTGTATGTGTGTGTATGTGTGTGAGTTTGTTTTGTTCGTTTTTTGTTTTTTTTTTTGTTTGTTTGCTTGGTTGGCTGGCTGTGTACTCATGCCGTGTGCACATTGTTTGTTTGTGTGTGTGTGTGTGTGTGTGATTGCGTGTTGTCATGACCTGCTTGCCACTCATCTCAACACACATGCAACCTGTTGTCATTTCGTCACAACTATAACAGCGAGCGCGGTGGTGATGGTAGCAGTGGAGGAGCGAAGACGAACAAGGCCGCCGCGCGTGTTGCCTCTCTGCAGAAGCAGCTGCACGACGCACGGCAGCTGGTGGAGGCAAAGGAGCAGCACGCTGCACACCTGGGTTGGTTGGCATACGGCTTCCCGCGCGTGTGTGTGCTTTCCGCGTATATGCTGTGCTGTGTGTGGGCGTTCGTTTGCGCGCGCGTGTGCGCGTGTGCGCGCTTGCATTGCGTTGATGGGTCTCGTTTTATGCATATGTATGTGCGCGTGTTTGTACACCCCTAGCCCTGATGAATCCTCTGCGCGCTTGCGCATGTGATGCAAACAGAACGCAAATTGCAACAGAGCAGCGAGGAAGTGGAACATCTTCAGGCCCACAAGCGCCGCTTCGACGACAGCCGTCAGGCCATGCAGGAAACCATCACCGCCCTCAACACACGGTGTGTGTGTGTGTGTGTGTGTGTGTGTGTGTGTGTGTGTGTGTGTGTGTGTGTGTGTGTGTGTGTCGAGAGTGTTGGGCCGTCATCAACACGTCACGTTCATCCTCGCCTCTCACCTCTTCACACACACATACACATACACGCACTCTCTCTCTCACCATAATCGTCGTCATCAGTATTGCTGACCTCGAGCGAGATAAGGAGGACCTGCGGACGCGACTGGAGACGACAAATCAGATGTTTGATGAACTCCGACAAACGCGCGCTGAGGTGCACTTTGATGCATGAACATGTTGTGATGTGATGCGATAATAGTCTGATGTGATCCATCTCCTCATGCACACACACCAGCGCGCGCGCTGACACCGCCCTCCTTCCCCCAACATTCGCATGAACGAATGTGCAGGCTGTGGAAGGACGCCAGATTGCCGAGGAGCAGCTGACACAGTTGAAGATGCAGCACGCGCAGCTGAAGACAGCCATGCAGCAAACCATCGAGGCAGAGGTGGGTGTTGCTGATGGTGTTTGTGTTGGTGTTTGTGCTCGTGACGAGGTTGCATGACCAGGCATGCTGCGGACGTTCGCATGCTGTTGTGGGATCCACATCGCCAGTATGCACATACGCACACGTACCTGCTCACACACGCACACACACACAAACGCACATATATCCTCTCTCTCTTTCTCTCTCTCTCTCTCTTGCCCTCACATGACTTTGCTTGGGTTCATGGGCATCTTGCACAGACATCAAGTGCAGTGCAGCGATACAAAGCAGATGTGAGTTGTTTGCGAATGAATGAGCGCACCTGCAAGTTCATCTGTACTTCGCTATCCTGCAGGACACGTGCTCTTCTTTCTCCTTTGATTCGTACAGTGTTGCCGATGCGGACGCTTGCTGGTTGTTGTGCCACGGTAACTGCCTTTGCTCACATGCCTGTCGTCGTCGTCGTCGTCGTCGTTGTTGTTGTTGTTGTTGTTGTTGTTGTTGTTGTTGTTGTTGTTGTTGTTGTTGTTGTTGTTGTTGTTGTTGTTGTTGTTGTTGTTGTTGTTGTTGTTGTTGTTGTTGTTGCACCATCCCCTGTCCTTCTCTTGCTGTCCAGAGCATCAAACTGGAGGAAGCGCTCGTTGATCGCGAGGAGCGGATTGCAACGCTCTCCCATCGCCTCGAGCGCCAGCAGCAGACATCAGACGACCTCCGTGCAGAGCTGGACTTGGTGCGCGCTCATATATGTGTATTGTATGTGTGTCTGCGTGCAACCATGTCGCAGATGCCAAGTTGTGTCACGGCTTTTCACCATTTGGAGTTGAGCAAATTCACACTCAACTCACTCACTCACTCACTCACTCACTCACACGAACTTGCTCACTGCAACTTCAGGCGAAAGCTGGGCCGCAGGATCAGCTGCACGGCTTGCAGGAGGCGAACGGCAATCTCATGCGCTCGCTCGCCGAAGCCCAGCAGGCCCGCGATGACTTCAAGGTGTGGTGGTGGCAAGTGGTGGTGGTGGCGACTGTGCACCTCAGTGTGCGCGCGCATGCGTGCAAAATTTTGGGATGATGAAATCACCGCATCCCCGACACGAGCACCCGTTGCTTCGGGATACGTGTGTGGCCACGCAGCATACTCTCCTTTTGGTTTGTCTGCCTTCGTCTAATGGTCAGCAACAACGCAACACCCATCATCACCGTCTCAGCTGCAATGCGAGATTGCGGAATCCCAGATGGCGGCAATGCAAGAGGAGCAGCAGCGCACGCGACGCGAACACTTGCAGCAGGTGTTGTGTTTTATGGCGTTGCGTTGTGCGTGTGTGTGTGTGTGTGTCTGTGTGTGCATCTCTCTCTCTCTCTGTCTCTCTGTCTCTCTGTCTCTCTCTCTGTC